CTCAGCACCTGGTGCACTTCTGCCGCAGCATCCGTTGTCGGATTTTCAGAGAAGTTATTCAAACCGAATCGGCCAGTTCTGTGGGAACTGGCCTCTGCAGATTTTTTGCCTGCGCGGTTGATTCAGTCGTGTCTTGTCTCAAGGGTATTTGACCGAGGTTAACTATCAGTTTTGTGCGCTCATTTTGGCCTCCTTGCTGTTGTCTCACAGATCTAGGTCGGCTTTCGCAACACCTGATATTGCTAGACAGATCGTTCCTAGAACTGTACCTGATGGGTTAGCTGGATGAAATGTATACTACCCTTAGTTCATGCTACGATAGATAGGGGAATCAACCACCTGATGGGAACGTTCAGCTACATAGTCAGCTTGATAAGTCATATGCATGTTGGAGGGCGGGTAGGAGTACTGCTGTAAGTCCAACTCGTTCTTCTGGTGTGGATTAGGGAATGAGAGTGAACCACAAGCTGAGACATCAGAAGAGCTTGCCTTGTATGGAGGGATTTTGCGGGCCGGTGTAGAATGTATTTTGAAGGCTTTGTTTTTGGAAAATCCCTCCATGTATATATTTGTTTTATGATATGACTGACTCTTTCTGTTCGATATTTTGGTACTCTATTTAATACCATTTTGGGATTTTGTCATTTTTTATATCGTTTTTTATATCATTTATATCATTTTATCATTTTTATATCTTGTACTTATATTGAAGTTTCTATTTTTCCTTCTGAACTATATATGTGTTGTTTAAAATTGGTGCTTATTATGGTTACTGCCATTTTTGGATTTTATACTCTAGCAGCAGCTCGTTGGAACTAACTGGAAGCACTTATTCTTCCAGTATCTGAGCTTATTGTTGTGATTAGAAACTCGAAGGTGTTATATTGTTTTGGTAATTGTCTGTATATCCTTTTTTGATTTAAAATAGGACCGTTCTTTCCCAGATTTATCACTTTTGGACGTGGACTGAACGAGACGCGTGTGAACCTGCACGTCCAACGACTGTCTGCGTAGATGCGAATACTGCCTCTAGTGTGAACTCGAATTTCACATCGACAGGTCGCTCTCCCTCGAGAGTTATTTACCTGTCCGCAAGTTTTCTGACTAGTAGATTTGGTACTCAGCAGCCTTACGAAGGATCTTTTCACGTGATCTCTAGTCACGAAAAGACCTTCAAGGTTGATGGACACAGTCAGCATTGATCGCCTCACACCAGGACACTTCAATGACAGTGCCCTACCTGGTAAATCGAGATTTAATGCTGGACTCGTCCAACTCCCTAGCGTGATCCTTATTTTTCCTTCTGAACCCACGCTAGATGCATCAGAGACCTCCTTCTCACGTCCCAGTCAAAAGCACGCGTCATCTGCCCTATCTACGGATGAGACTCCGGTCTCGCATCCAGATCAGCACACCACGCCGCCCTTGCAGGCCCACGAGGTACGCACGAGACTACCGCCTGCCTATACGCTTTCGCAACCAATATCCGAATCAACAAAGAATAAGCGATTGGACACTATCTTCATACTGCATGTTTGCTACACCTCTCTCTTTTTCCCTTATTTTTATATCCTGGGCCCACGCCTCCAACCATTGCCCTGTTAATACCGTCGACTTCATTCAACCTTGGAGAAAGCTGGCCTGGTCACTTACGCTCTTGTCAATGCACTCAGCTGATGTTCTGATTACGAATATATCTGGTTTCGCAATGGTCGGTATCATCGTTTCTGGCTCCTTCGCTCAATTTGGTTCCGTCTTACGTCTGCAGCTTAATCTGGTCCGGACCCCTACGAACACAATCTTGAGACTCTGCATACGAGCCACAGTGGTGTGGCACGCAAATCCGATAGACAAACTTGGAACGACAACTCGAGCAGCAAACCTGGCACGTTACTACTGGTACAGTTCAACGTAGAAGACTATCGGTGACAACTCGAGCTTCATTCGTCGCTTCCTATTCGTCAACCCTTCCGCACTCACACTTTGAGATTCACAACGTCATCGCACCTCCTCTTTTTAGAAGATACATAAATCTCTCGAATCCAGAGCGAAGGCGAGCAATGAAGTGGGTGATAGGGTTGAAGGATAACAAATACGAAGATAGACTGCAGCACTTGGAACCATTGTCTCTCAGTTGTACAAGAATCATAGGTGATCTGATAATCTTCGAAAAATTGTGCATCAATGAGCGTACGATCAGGATTGTGAACGCTTTTTCTCATTAAGATCCGTTGCAACTTGAAATGATCTCTTAGCCAAGTTGGTCGCAGCCCCTTCAGCGGACAGCTATAAGAAAAGATTCGTTAAACACGTACTCACTTACGGGTTAGCAACTCCCTCGTGGACAAGCTGTGCCGGATGCGTCTTAAGACTTGCTAGTTATTATCACTACCATTTCCCCAGATCACTAACTTAATCTATCTCGCTTATTAACTCTGTTTCCTCTCCGTTGCTTACACTTCGGTCCTCTCGCATAATTTTCACTACCCATTAATAAACTAAAATATCCGTTGTTACCTTATTTCTGAAATCTTCTCTTCATAAGCATGAGACTTTTCTCCTTAATAATCCCCACATTGCAACTAACTTATATTCTGCCTGGGAACGTGATATCCAGATACCCTGCGGCTTCGAAATAAACGTATTCAGATAAATCGCAGGACATACAAACTCACAAACAAATATCAACTCACCAGAATCCGCCGCGCAGGCAAAAAATCTGCAGAGGCCAGTTCCCACAGAACTGGCCGATTCGGTTTGAATAACTTCTCTGAAAATCCGACAACGGATGCTGCGGCAGAAGTGCACCAGGTGCTGAGACAAACCACCAAGTGCCTTTATAGCAACGTGAGAGGACTAAAGGGTAAGCTGTTAGGAATTAGGAATATGTGCTCTCAGATGGATCTGAAGATAATAATCCTAACTGAATCATGGCTATCCTCTGACATTGCAGACGAAGAAGTGAGCTTGCCAGGCATGAAACTCTTCTGAAGCGATACGGAACACCAAAGTGGAGGTGGAGTGGCTATATATATAAATAGCTACTTAAAAGCACAGAGACTACACGACACCCAACTAACGAAGGTGACAGAATCATGTTGGTGTTGTTTCTACACGAATGGCACGGAATAATTGATTGGCGGGATCAACCGACCTCTTTCGGTTACTAAGGCCCAGAAAAGCAAACTGATCGAGGTAATACTGCAGCTTCCACTCCTGGGGTTTGACCAAATACTCTTAGCTGGAGATTTCAATACCCCATCTTTAAATCTCAGCAATCAGAGTATAACTCCGACTGGTTGCTTCGAAAGACAACTTGGTACAGCCATTAGAAGCTCTGAGCTGACTGAACACGTATGCAGTGCCACTAGGTGGACTAAGGAAGGGAAGTCCTCAAACCTGGATAAACGGTTTAAAACTCAACCAACCGAACTGCCACGTCATGCATCTCCTGCCTCACATGATGCAAACGATCTATACCCTCAATGGAAATCCGCACCCTAATGTCTCCTCAGAGCGCGATCTTGGTTTAATAACCACAGAAAGCCTCCGCACGAGTCCAAACTATGTAGGAGATGCAGCCAAGGCAAATGCGACTCTTCACTTTATGCGAAGACAGCTTGGTGCTATCACCCCGAAATTATTTTTAACCCTATTTAAGACGTACGTGCGCCCACACTTGGAAGTTCACAACGTCATCGCACCCCTGTATGCTTAAGAGAGACATAAATATCTTGGATCGAGTCACTAACATTCAGTTTCCTGGGTGCAATGATGAGTCATCTAGGTTTCACGGACATGCTGTTGTGTTGAATATTCAGTATGAGGAATCGAGCATGGAATTGTCCACCTGTCACACTCCACCATCATTGACTTGTACTACAAGTATCGGAATGAGCACTACCAACCGTGATAAGACGAATGAGGTGAAGAGCATTCCTTTTAAGGAAAGTAATGTTGATCGAGTAGAGTGGGACACTGAACATGGATGTCATGGGAAGAGTACTACTACTACTACAGCTGCGGCTACTAAGGATAATAGTATTGATAATACTCCTGCGGGTAATGGTGATCAAAGGACATCGAAAGACACTCATCGACATCGAAGCGGGCGTACATTACGCTCACATACTGCTACCCAAAGTGAGAAGCAGGAGAAACGACATGATGCTACTACGATTAAGAAGAGTAAACTTCTTTCTCTTCCGGATGCTATGACTAGCAATGAAGATAGTAGTCATCTGAATCGTAGTAGTGGCAGCGATAGTAGAGACAGAAAGTGTGAGCAATCCACCTATAGTGACTATTCGATCTACTTCATCGAATGAAGCCTTTAGTGTTTTTACGTCATTGCGAGTCGTCGCAAATTGGAAAGCCCTACCTGCCGAGTTGACCACAGCCCTCCCAGTGGACTGCTTTAAGAAGAGACTCGATAAGCACGTACTCACATACGGATTATCATCTCCCTCTTGGACAACCTGATCGTGATGCATCTCTTGAGACCTTCTAGTTGTTATCCCTGCCATCTCCTCGGATCACTTACTTAACGTATTTCGTCTTTTATCTTTGTTTCCTCTCTCTTGCTTACTCTACGGTCCTCTCTCACAATCTTCACTACCAATTAATAAACTAATTTCAACTTTATATTACTTAGTTCTTAAATTTTATTCATACTAGCATTATAATTTTATCCTTATTACCCTTGTAACTCTCCACATTACAACTAACTGATCTCCGGTTTGGTAATGTGATGGCTGCTAGTATCGAGAAACCCTACTGTCCTGAAACAAACGTTTTCATTCAAATCCCGAGATATACAAACTCACAACCAACTGCCAACTTACTAGAATTAGACAGTCGAGTGGCTAGACCTCCATCCATTGGAAACTACCGGACACCTGGAACTGTACCGAAAGAACAAGAATCGAGTGCGAAGAAATCAAATTGGTTTACCATAGCTCGTGAAAAAGATATTGGATATTGGACACCTTATGTACTTTGCACGAAATTTGAAGTACGACGGTAGATAAGTTGCACGTTGACATTAACGAAATAATACTTGGCAATATATTGTCCTTAAAGTTGCTAAATAATTTTTAAGTAGCCTCAAAGTTTATTTGGGTTATATATCACACGGATTCAAAGAGTCTACTTTCTTCGAAATGTTTATACACTATAATTATAGAATCCATTTGACGTCCGTATGTGGTTTGCATGTAAGATCTTTTTGTAATCCCGTTGGTTAATTGCAGGGTCGTCAAATATATACCTATATATCCACGTAAGGTGTGAAACAGTCATCTACTTAAGATGTGCTATGTTTACAAGTAAATATTGGACTTGTTTGTGAGGTATATATATATACATTTGTCTTTTAACCAGCTACTTTTATTGCAGTCTAATTTGTCCTGTCTAATGTTTTCGTTTCTCACATTGTCAGTAGTGCTTTCACAACCGCAGTATAAATATATGGCTTATAACCCCATATAAATATGAAAGTTCTTGCATTATATGGACCTAATGTCTACTAAATATCCTACAAATAATGTTCCATTCACATTTAAATTTATCTTGTATTTGAAATTACAGATGCCAGCCAAACGTATTCTCCCATGGAAAATACCAGACTGGCTTTTAGATGATGCTTTATTAAATAAATCTATATCAGAGTGCTTGCCTGTTCACTATAATTTTGAGATCCATAAAACTATATGGCGTATACGTTGTCTTCGAGCCAGAAGAATTGCTCTACAAATGCCAGAAGGTTTGCTCATATTTGCAATACCGATTTCTGAAATCATTCGAAATTACTTTATTCGTACAAGCGAATCCTCAGGTTCTGAGGACAGTATTAAAGATATTGATGTGGTGATTTTGGGCGATGTGACTTATGGGGCTTGTTGTGTTGAGGAACTGAATGCAAAAGCACTTGGTGTTGACTTACTTGTACATTATGGTCATAGTTGCTTAATACCATTGGATTCTATTTCCGTTCTGTAAGTTTTTGCTTTTTATTTGTAACTAATGAATTAAAAATGTTTTGATGTCAATCTCATGCTTAGTATTAATGCATCCCCGGTTTTATGTCGTTAATTGTATGCTACAACCAATCACAATGAAGCAGATACGTAGTTGACCTTCCCTGTATCCATGAAAATTATGTCACTTCATACTTTTAATCCTGGAACAAATCTCTAGTTTATTCTAATCTTTATATTACTGTTTGTAGTCTTTTTTCCATCCTCTTCTCTATTTCCTGTGTCTGAAATATCTGATCACAGAATAGGTACATTTTTGTTAGCAACCACGTCCACGCTTTTCTATCTGTCCCTAGTGTTAAATGTGTTCATTATTCCAAACAACCAGTTCATACCGTCCGTATGAGCACGTAATAGTTATCATTTGTGACATGATCGACTGTTAGATACTTACTGAATCATAAAATGTTACAGCTGATAGTATCGTAATTTCATAATTAGCTGCACGTATATGTATATTCTTAGCATATAAGTTGACATGAAAATATTATTCATCATTGATTAGCATCAACCAAAGCACTTTTTTATTCCTGGATTTTTATCACCACTTATGCACGTGATCTGGTAATTGTAGGGATAACGACGTAAATTTTGTACGTTTTTACTGATTCCAAGTAGAATGTATCTCCAAATCCATCATCCATTTTACAAAGAATTCAGGAACATAATTTTCTACTGTTTACTAGTGAATTACTACGAGGTCCGTTGTACACAGTAACAACGACTAGTGCTCCCTACTGGCATTCTGAAAGCGGCCCTGAAGAACATAGTTTGTGTTGCTTTAAAAAATGACCCTATGCCCTGATTGTGTAAACGATATGATCTTATTGTGTAGTAAACTACAATTTTCCAGTTCACGATGGATATACTGGGTGCCCCTCAAGTCATCTTTCTTATTTCTTAGGCAAATCTTATGTTGATCATCGTTTATCGCATCCAGGTATTCGAAAATATAAGCAGATGTTTTGGTGTTCATTATTCTCTGCTTATCACCGCAATAGTCTGAAGTATTTACCAGGTTTGCTCTAAAGTAATCAGTAAAGTTTCTGTTTTTCTTTACTTATCTATACGTGCACAGATACGTGTTTGTTGATATTCAAATTGATATCATTCATTTCATCGATAGTATAAAGGCTAACTTCGAAAAATCTTCCCATTTAGCCCTTGTTTCTACCATACAATTTGTTACAAGTTTACAAGCTGCAAAACAACCATTATTAGAAGCCGGTTACTCAGTAACTATTCCTCAGTGCCTTCCTTTGTCTCCTGGTGAAATACTTGGGTGTACATCTCCTAAAGTGAGCTTTAGAATAGTGTTTGTTTTTTGGTGCTTGTTTATGTTAAGCATGACACAATATATTTAATATTCGATCACAGCATATAGTGGTACATATTTTTGGACGACATATTAACACCCGTTAACATTTATTGAGAATATGCATCATCGAACATTCAAAGGAAGCCCTGCTCACTACATTTTCTTGCAGGAGGTTGTTTACGAAACTGAGAGGACCAAAGGCGGATTTCCAGTGCTTTATCCCGGTTGGCGGGTATAGAGGACCCACCTAGAGAGGTTGGAAAATCCTAATTCCAAACCAGTGGTGCGCGTGGGCTCCAGCATCCTGATGGAACAAATGGCATATGAAGCTTCTGTCGGTCACGGGCTACTGTAGGACTGCAACTTCTGACGTTATGGGAAGTTTTTAACATGTTAGCTCCGCCCTTTAAGTGGACAGACAAACAGATACAACGTAGAACTTCGTACGTAATTACATCAGTTCAAGTTGCCATACCGTATTAGCATAAAGGTGCAATTCTCAGTTCAAATCCAATAGTGGTAGAGATACTAGAAGTATTAGCAGTAATGGAGAAGATCAAAGATCAAAAATACTGCTGAAGAAGTGTGATTCAGTGAGATAACTTTAGAAAGAAAAAGTTAGAGATGATGAGGAATTCAGGTTAGAATTTGAGAGAAAACAAAGAGTGGATGCACCTGCGTCATTGCAAACGATTTTGAGCTATGTCGTTCAAGGTCTCTAACCATCGATTATTATCATCTCGCGGACCCCAACCACGTAGTCTGCATTCACCAATATGACTCAGTCCACTTGTTAATGATTTCATGGATTTATGTCATGTTTTGGTTTGGTGATCCGTAGCTTTCTTCCAACCTACTCTTACACCGCAAAACATAGCTCGATGAGGCAGTCGGTGGTTGGGCATTAGTAACACATGTCCTAACCACTTCAACTGATGAAGTTTCAATACTTCATCTATTGATCTGACATCTGTACCTAGTACCATTTTCCTAACAACAGCGTTGCTTACTCGGTTGTCACACAATACACGAGCAATACTTCGGAGACACCTATAATCGCAAACAATTAACCTACGAATATCTTCTACTTTGACTGGCCATGTTTCACAGCCATAAAGTAGGATGGAGCGAACTGCTGCGCAGTACACTCATCCTTTGGTCAGCAAATGGTTATCTCGCCTACGCCATAAGTGACAAGTTGTCAAAAGTCGGTCTACCCTTCCGTATCCGTGCCGAGATTTCGTCAGTCACCAGGCCATCAGCACAGATGAGACTCCCAAGATAAGTGAAACGGTCAACATGCTCAATTGCTTTACCCCCTATCACTAGTTCAAGTGCCGATACAAGCCAATTCTGCAACAACATTTTGCATTTCGAGGGGGAAAACCGCATCCCGAACATGCTTGCATTGTTGCTTAAGGTGGTCAGAAATGCGTGTTGAGGCACACATACTGGCAATGTCTTTAGAAATTCTTAACGTCGACATCTGTTGTCTGTTCGAGACCCATTTCTTAGACTGTATTGACGTGTTATGCATTCACTCTGTTTCTTCGAAAAGCATGTTCCGTGTGCGTTTGTCTGGCCTTGCTGGCGTTGGTGTCGCACCAAGCGCTAGAGCAGAAACAGTGCTAATCGACTGAGTCCTTACTAATGGTCACTTATATTCTATTACATTAGATAGGCTCACCAGAGTGGGAGGAAACCGGTGTGAAAAACGATGCTTTTCATTAGTTCCACCTACGCCCCAACAGATCACAGCCTGGATGCAACCAACCACTAGTTAAGTGACCTCCGGAAAGTGTTTAATAGATATCGTAGTACTATCTGGCGTTGGTGGTTACCTGATTGAGACTGACTGGGTTGTTTACAACCATTTGACAACGAGAGAACGTTCCAACATCGTGGGATGAGTCGATAGTTATCCCTATCTTGATAAAGGTTCACGTCATCTATGTAACAAATATCGGGGGATGAGTCTACTACGGATTGTGTCCAAATTATTGGCTCCCATCATGCTTCGTCAACTGTTCTAAACCCACTAGTAGCAGGCTGGTTTTCGTTGTTGTCAGGGATGTATTGATCATGTCTTCGCCCTCCGCCGATTATTAAAACATCACACCGCTGGTCAACGACCGTTGTCTCTCGACATCAAAGTCGCCTATTCTTCGGACAGTACCGTTCTCTTTGATTGTCGATTGAAAAAGTGTGTGCCTGAGAAGTTCATAAACATCCTGAAGACCCTACATACAAACCTTAGGCAGAGTGAGGGTATGCAACTACCTCTCTGTATTGTTTTATTCAGAAGTTAAGTTAAGTAGGGTTTTCTAGTCCCACCATCCTTCCTCAACTTTGACATCGACAACGTTCTGGAGACAGCTCTGATGAATGTAGGTAATGGTGGTGTGGATCTGTTACCGGGAGGACTTTTCGACTTTGAGTATGCGGATGATATTGTATTACTGTGAGATAATTTCCAAGCCTAACAATCTTCACATAGTCAGTTGCTAATCAGCGTCCATAGTTATGGCATGTACTTCTCGTCTTCTAAGTGCAAAGTACTTTTGCAAGACTATCAGGACCCTGTACATACATACACTCACTCTTTGTAGTGAACAGTTAGAGGTAGTTGAGAAATTCTCGAATCTGAGTAGTTATGTGTGTGCTGGTGGTGGTGTAAGTGACGAAATCTGTTTATTTGTAATGAAAGCCATAGTGACTTCTATCGACCAGGGCTATCTTTGTTGCAGTCCGGATGTTAGTCTGACTGTCGAGATCAGTTTTGCCCGATGTTTGTGAAACCTGGTCTCTCTGAGTTGAAGATATTAATAGACCTCTTGTGTTAAATCACCGTTGTCTACGGACAATTGCTAATATTCAGTGGCAACACGATGTTGATAATGTAGAGGTTCAGTAACGTGTGTTCGGGCACAGCAACGATAGTTCAGTTGGTGTTATCATCTTGAGACACCGACTTTGGTAGCTCTGATATGTACTATGGATGTCATCGTCGCGAATTCCATATTGTGCATTGTTTTCCAACCTTGGGACTGGTTTTAAAAAGCAGACAAGTGGTCAGTGTATGATATGGTGGGTATCATGGGATGAAAAGAAGTTCTAAAGAACTGGCATTTGTCGGTACTTCACAATTCCCGTGTTGTGGTCCTAGAGATGATGTAACTTAGTGGCTTGTGCCATTATCAGGCACGGCTCAAAATTGAAGCAAGTGGGGGTCTTGCTGTAACCTAATTTAATTTCATTTTCTTTACATAGGGAAAAGTAATTTTACCTGACTGATTTGTTCCTTCCACTATTATCACTATGATTTCATTCCCATACATTAATTTCTGTCCATCATTTTTTTGTTATACTCACCATTGTTCGTTTATCTTTTCTCAACCTTATTTTTGTTGCATGGCGCATACATATTTTGGTGCCTGTTTGTACCTAATATTTGTTTGAACTAAATAAAATAAAATAGAAATGTGTATGATAAAGGCAGAATAACCCAAAGAAATTATCTTCAAAATGAATAGAACAACTGGCTTAGAACATCATTAGTTCGGCTAAAAAATTTTTACATTCAGTTTACTTTATTTACTTACTCCTGTACATTATTCAATGAATTCCATTGTATCATTTCGGTGTCAATCGTCAAAATTGTCTGGTTTTGATAAACTCTTTATCACACTGCTGCAATATTTTGAAAGTAGATAAAATTGTTTAGCAAATCGTTCAAGTGATATCTGATCATTTTAGTTCATAACGATTCCGTCCTCTTCTCCTAACTGCATTATTATATCTAGAAACACTCATCACACCATGTTACTGCTCACCTTAGTGGTTGTTTATGTGTCATTTATGTAAAAGTTGATCCCTTCCATTTTCCAGTGGTTGCAATTTACGGTTTTTAAAAAAAGAATTGAGCTCACAACTGTGTCAATGCATTAACTTACATCAATATTTTCATTTAGGTTGGATAATTCACATTATCTGCCAGTATAGACACTTGTATGACTACTGTCGTCTGTTTTCATTAATTCATTTCAGGATAACAAAAGTAGCTCAAAGTGTTATTGAAGAAAACATTAAGACAATCTAGCGAAGGAAATTTCTCCTTTGGATGATATCATTTACTTAAGTGGTGCAATCGTATTTATAATTAATTTTCAGTTAAAAGTCTATTAAGAAATAGAAGTAAGACTGTATCATTTTGTATGTCGAAGAAAATCGCTCAATAACCAAAAATTGAAGAGTGATAATAAAATGTGAATATGATTATTGTTCACTTAATGATGAGAAGCAAATTAAAAACATGAAAGCGATCATAACAGATGAACAAAATTAGGAAGATTGGGAATAAATAAAATTAATTACCGTTCATGAAGTGTTAGGACCAAGAAAGAATGATGGCTTGTATATGTCTCTTCCGCCCACACAGAGATCAGGTTTGAAATGATGGACTGTCAGTTTCTTTGCAATGTACAAGTTATTCATCTGCTTTATTTTTTGAACCAACTCATGTGACTGTGAAAATGACTTTGAAAGGATTGTCGGATGGGCCAGAATTCACAGGGTGATCTGATATTATCCTATTGAGTTCAAGAAAGATAAAGTGCTAGACATTGTAAAGAATCTTTTTGCGGAAAACTTTCTATGTGGCTAAGATTCGCATCATCCCATCCAGCCGCCCAATGTTTTGTGAATGTGTTAAGGACAAACTGTCACACTGAGCTGCATCAATATGAATTTACAAGTTAACTTACTGATGTGGAGCAGGTTATGTAGGCTTCATAAAGAGAGTGCTTTCCACGGGTGTAGTTAAATTTATCAACAATACTATCCATCCATTTTCAACCGAAGTTGGAGAAGGCGATTTCCGAAATCGAGAACCAATGATCATACTATAAGTGATTAAATCATAGAACCACATGTTGACAATAGTTTACTTTGTAACTATTCTTACTTTTTATTTCACAATGCTAATCGCTATTCCAACCATATTTATATAAATTTTTTGATTCTCGAATAGGTAGAAGGTGTTGATGCCTTAATCTATTTAGGTGATGGTCGCTTTCATCTCGAATCTATTATGATATCTAACCCATTGTTAGCTGCTTATCGTTATGATCCTTATGATAAATCATTTACGCGTGAATACTATGATCATAAAGAAATGCGTAAACGTCGGAAAGAAGCTATTGACACCGCGAGGAGCGCTGTGAATTTTGGCATTATATTAGGTTAGTAAACTATTATCTTTGCCTTTATAATTGTCGTGTTGGTTACACAGGTGTTTATATTCAGTATCTTCCGAAACCACATTCTACCGAATCAATCTTGTCCAAGCTAACAATCTCTGACCTAATGACTGAACAACCAAAAGCTACGAAACCTAGTGTTAGATTTTCTGGAAATAGCGGTCAAATCTACCTAAATAACGCACCCGAGCTCCATTTAAGTTAGAAGACGGTCTTGGTTACTCTTAGATATTTATATCGATTGTTTATAATTTTGGTTCTACAATAAATCGTAATTAATTAAATTTAAGCTTCACATTCAGGTTAACAAGACAACAATCAGTCGTGAAGCAGGAGAAATGTGTTCCAACCAATAAGAACACAGTCAATTTGTCGATAATTAACTCAACCAATAAGATACTAGGAAAATGGCATGAACCCTGACTACCAAATAATATAAAGTCTTAAATGAGAATTTCACACCTAGAAAATTTGCGTTTGATCTCGTGTGAGGTCGAGGTAAATTTACCAAATATTTATTTGATTACAACAACTTTTCTGTAATTTTCAGCGCTTATTATTTTCTAACTGACTAAATCTTCACCAACCATTTTATTTTTTCTAAGCTCAAAAACATTCAACTATTTTTGTTTGTCATTAAAATACAGGTACGCTTGGTAAACAAGGATCGCCAGCCGTTGTGAAACAACTTCAAACAGAATTGGAAAAATCTGGAAAGACTTACTGCATAATATTGTTGTCTGAAATTCTTCCAAGTAAATTAGCACTTTTTGACGAACAAGTCGATGTTTGGATCCAGGTATCTTTAACTTTTCGTTTTACAGGCTTTTATTTGTACATGCCTATGTTGTGATAGGGAGTGAAGTAGTCGAACGTGTAGACCGCTTCACTTATCTGGGGAGTCTCATCAGCGCTGATAGCCTGGCGACTGACGAAACCTCAGCGCGGATACAGAAAGCTCGATTGGCTTTTGCCAACCTGCGTCACTTATGGCGTAGGCGTGATATCCGTTCGCTAACCAAAGGACGGGTGTACTGCGCAGCAGTTCGCTCCGTTCTCCTATATGGCTGTGAAACATGGCCGTTAAGAGTAGAAGATGTTCGTAGGTTACTAGTATTCGATCATAGATGTTTAAGAAGCATTGCTCGTATATCGTGGGACAACTGAGTAAGCAATGCTGTCGTTAGGAAACGAGTACTAGGTAAGGATGGCAGATCAATTGATGAAGTATTGAAACTTCATCAGTTGAGGTGGTTGGGACATGTGTTACGTATGGCTAACCACCGACTGCCTCGACGAGCTATGTTTTGTGGTGTAGTAGTTGGTCGGAACAAAGCTAGTGGCGGCCGAACCAAAACATGGCTCAAATCCATGAAGTCACCGACAAGTGGACTGAGTCATGTTGGTAAGTGTAGACAGTACGTGGTTGGAGACCGCGAGACGAAAGTCACCAAAATGGTTAGAGACTTTCAACGACATAGCTCAAAATCGTTTGCAATTGCGCAAGTGCATCCATTCTTTGAGCTCTCTCAAATCCTAATCTTCTGGATTCGTCAGCACATCTACCTTTGTCTTTCTAACCTTATCTCACCTAATTATACTTCTTGAATAATATCTTCGAACCCTAGTCTTCTTCATTACCATTAATACCTCTACTATCTTTATCACTGTGGAATTTGATTTGACATTTGCATCTCTGTGCTAATAATGTGGTATGGCAACATGAACTTATGTACATACGTATGTAGTTCTGCGTTGCAAATGACTGTCTGATTGACATGCGTATGATAATCTTCAAATGTTCTAAGCATTAAACTTACTTGATTTCATAGTTGGGGCACTTAATAAGATGGGCAATTCGAAACGCGATGTTTTGGGAAGATACCTTCACTGGCAAGACTGCTCAAAAACCAAGTGATTGTTTCGTAACCATACTGGGACTTCATTAATCACCCCTACAGGGCGTAGGAAATTTCCAGGATAAGTAAAGGTGTCATCTCAACTGACTATAATTAGTTCAGTCTCTATGGTCCAACTGTGTTGTGATTCATCCCAGTCCTGAAGCAATATTTTGAATTTAAAGGAGGATAAATATAGCCAACCATTCATTATCAGTTATATTGTATGGATATTTTCAAGTTTCTCTAGTACTCTCATCGAACACAACGTTATTTGCCTACTCCAAGTCTCTGATGTTCCGATTTTAAATATCCTTATTGATCAAATAATATTTTGCAGTTATTACATAAACTTATGGACCTTGAAAAGTTGCTTCTTTTTTATATTCTTTTTGGTTTTGCTTCAAGGTTGCATGCCCTCGTCTCAGTATTGATTGGGGTGTTGAGTTTACTAAACCTTTACTCACGCCATATGAAGCATTTGTTGCTCTAAACGAACAAGTATTTTGGCCTAAAGATTTATCTGAAGCCTATCCAATGGATTATTATGCTAATCAAAGTTTGGGACATTGGACACCGAATCACAAGTTAAATAAACCGAATGCATTAAAAAAAGGATAATTAAAAAGATGTTACTTGTAAAATTGAATACTGTAAATATATCTTATTATCAGAAATAATATTACGATTTATTTTTTGAGGTAATGCTGCTTTGCTTTTTTGAGTCACTCGGGTAAATCAGAGGCCAAATGAATTGGCCATATTTACTTACTATGGCTGATAAACGACAACGGTTATACAGGCGATAAAGTATGCGCTTATCTGGTTATTAAAGCGACTCGATGAAGCACCCCCAGACATGAGTATTGTCGCAAACGGCTTTTCTTATTAGTATAGTTAGTTATCATCAGGATTGACTGTTGAAGATTAGAGTATCTCCAACACCTGTAGTTGAAGTTTATGGAATTTGTTCAATAATCATTCCTATTATTAAGTTATATTTCCATATGCAATATACTTTTACGTTTCACTTACAAATGTACCACCTCGCTGAGTAAAATCATTCCTTCTTACCAGTCATTCGGTTAGAAAGTCTTTCATTCAAAGTTATCAGTTGGTGAGATCGTCTTTTTGGATCGCCATTTCATACGTTACAAAATTATAAAGAGTTCAAGACTACTGTAACCATTCTTGACAGGATTACAAAACCATTGTGAGAAATAATATTTACCATAGATGAGTGGATATATCTTCTTCATTGTTTGATAGAGTACTGGTTAAAAATTAATAATCTTAAAATTTCTGTAGGATTTCGAAAGTCGTGAATGCAATTCAGGTTTTAGGAAGTATGCTAAGTGAAAATATCAAATAATGACGCCTACATTAAACGGGTTGTTGTTTGAGATAGTCAAATGTTAATTAATTCCTATCCTGTATAATTTTCATATGTCTGGTAGTTTACAAGTAAGTAATAAAAGATACTTGAAGGGTTACCGTCTGTCTCCGAGCACACGGTTGAGACTGAAGAGGAAAAACGTTTAGTATGGTCATCTGCTTGATATGGGAGATGACATTCATTTCCAAAACAATTTCGAGACAATCAATAAGCGAAAAAAATTCGGATTCATTGCACTTTTTTGAAGCCAAACCAAATCGACCCACACGAAAGAAACGTTGCTAATTTTGCTGTGCCATGGTGACTCTACTCCCAACTGGTTACGCAACACCATTTCTCCATGTCTTTAATGATAGTGACCTGCTACCTTTTCAAGCTTTATTCAGCTAACCAATTCTTTTTGTATGTAGTATTACATAATCTATGACATTTATTACTTTTACTATCGTTACCACTATTGGATTTGGACTGACAATTGCGTCTCTGTGCTAATGCGGTATGGCAACTTGAACTGATGTACGTACGTACGAAGCTGTGTTGTATGTGTCTTTCAGTCACAACTTTAGTCAACTTTACTGATATAGCCACCAACGTGAGTGCTGATCAGTCACTCAGCAACAATATAGAACTTGGCACATATGTAAATCAGTCCAAGTTACCATACCACCGTAGAAGAACAATTAATCAATTCAAATTCCATAGTAGTAGAGGTTGTAGCAGTACTAACGGTAATCAAAAAGATCACGGATCGAATACATGATTAAAGTACATCGCAGTGAAATAAATCTAAAAGAAAAGGTCACTAGGTGTTCAGCAGATTAGAATTAGAGAGAAGACAAAGAGTGTATACATCTGTGGCATCGTAAGCGATTTTGAACAATTGGTTACGACTATCTAACGTACCCTACCAGGTAGTTTACACCTCCTAGCATGGCTGTCTAATGCTCAGTGATTTCATGGATTTGTGCCATGTTTTGGTTTGGCCCCACCTAAATCTCAGCCTACTTCAACACTAGGCAGCATCGCTCGTCGAGGAAGTCGGTGGTTAGGCATATGTAACACATATCCCAACAACCTTGATTGATCAAGATTTACTGTTTCACCAACTGGTTTGCAATCCGTACCTAATACTCCTTTCTTAACTCCAGCATCACTCACTTCCAAACCAGCGTTGTCTTAGTGATTGCTGTCTTACATTAGTTGATTTTAAGTAATTCAACTATCCAGTAACGCAACATAAGCAAGGTAACAGATTTTGAATGTAAAATGAGTCGAGGGTTACCAAAACATTCTTCACAGACTCGGATATAAGTATCTAGAGCACCCAGTTGTATATTCCGTAACATTATTCGAAGGTGGTCATTACTATTTAAAAGTTCTCCGTTATTCTTTTTCATCAGACATGCAAACGAAGCAATGAATTCAATAATAAACTAGGATAATTAACTAAGCGTAAAGTATAAGTAGGATAACGTGCAAATTATTAGGAATGATTCAGAAAACTAGATATCGTTTTGTGTGTAACGGTATTTCTATTTGTTTATGAATACAAGAGTTTGGACGAATTGATCAAAGATGCTACTTGGGTTCTATGTGAGTAAGTTGAGGAACTGCGGCTGAGAATCCAGCCAAACCAGAACCACTTCCTGCAGCCCTGGGGCCAAGCATCATTGTGCGTTGCTGAGCTGCCTCTTGCTCTTCAGTTTGAACTCGTTCAAGCTCCAGAATGAGTGGTAGGAAACATACAGTAGCTGTGCTTGCCACGAACCAAGTCAATGATCTACTGATAGCATAGGCCGATACAATGCCTTTAGAAGTTGCACTGAAGGCAAGTGAAGCGCTACGACGTACTGACTCCGGAAACATCTCTGTAAGACCAATTAGGCGTTCTATGAGGCTTTCATCTTCGATATCAAAATCCTCGTCATCTTCAGAAATATTTGTCCCTTTCATGTTTTTAGAGGAGCTTTCTATTTCTGAGAGTTCCTTTGAGGTGCTTTTATTCGTTTCTTTGGAAATAAGAGTAACCGAAGCTGGTGAAATATCTTTTGTATCTGCGTCAATATTAGTCAGGTCAATAACTTCTGTTGGATAACCGGGAGGTGCGATCATGAATTCTTCAAATGCGTCCTAAGAAAGCATGATTACAAATCCTGCTTTAAAGGGAAATATTCAAGTCTTACTTTAAGTTCTAGCTGATTATCCATCGCATGTGGTTAGAAGTAGCGCACAAACTGGTCTTAGCGCCTAAACTTTAAACTTTACGACCAATTAACAATACTTTTCACGAGATAGTATAAACCAGCTGATTTCTTTGCGCTCGAAGTTTGTTCTTCTGGTACGTTTTCAGGAATTCGGCAATGTCTAAACTGGAGTGCACAGCAGTCAGCACTTATTTATGAATTTGTAAGTCCCGTGATTTGCGTGAGTTTATCTCAGGGCAGTAGGGTTTCTGGATACCGGAGACTAACACGTTACTAGGCGCGAGATCATTTAGTCGTAATGTGGAGAATAACAAGAAAATTCTATTGCTAGTAACAAGATGTAACTTTCAGAACCAACTAAATAATTGGATACTCTAATTTAGTGATTGGTGGTGAAGACTGTTTTGAGAGGACAGCAGTGTAGGAAAAGAAGAGGAAACAGAGGTAATAAGCGCGAAAAAATAAGTTAGCGATTTGAGTAAATGACAGCAATCGAAACTAGCAAATTTCGAGACATGCATCAGGCAGAGCTGGTTCAAGAGGGAGAAGATAATACGTATATGAATAAGTGTTTAACATTTCGCTTCTTGAAGTTGTGATTTTACGAAGAAAAGCACAACTATTATGACTAATTATGCAAATTAATGATTGGCCGAATATTTGTTTATCCGTCATTTTATTTTACCAATATCATGTTTATTTTTGCATGTATGCTGACATTTCACTATGGTCACAAGCTTCACTCTTTCCAATCTCTATTTTACTTTGGTTCAAAGTCGATGGGCAATGTCGCGTCCATATCGTCAGCGTTGATCTTATCAAACCAGCAAACGTCGATGGCATTGCCCTACCCTAGGCCTTTTTGTCATAGGAAATCCAGTACTGTTGATCTGGACTGTTCACTTTCTGATATGTTCATTACTCCGGATGACTTTACGCAGACTGAGCAACGGGAAAACACTTGTAGCAAGTCTGCTCATCATCCTGCTCGCCTTGACAGCTGCGAACTGAACTCCAATAGATTCGCTACCATTATTCCTGAAGACACCTTAAGTGCATTCGATATCAACTTAACCATTCAGGATTTACTACCTTACAAATACCTGGTCAGTGTTCCAGAAAATCCTGATCTCGATATCATTAAAAAAAGGAAATGGTAATTGACCACATATCCTCTGAAGTGCTAAAAAGAATTCACTGCATGCCGAATGCCATTGTTTATAACGTACCTGATAGTGCTAGCCTCAATTCTGTTAAAAACACTCTCCTTAAAGAGTGTGGATTGTCCGGTTCTTGGTGTGTAGCACGCAGGCTACGCAAAGTTCAGACTAAATTTTCCTGTTCCATTCTTCTTCAATTTAGTACTATCATGGAAGCTAATCACTTCATTATTAGTCAGTCAGTACTTAAACACATTCCACTATTTAAGAAGATTAGAATTATCCGTGATAGAACTACAATATAACGCCGTATTACCAATGGCCTTTCAACTATGCCGGCCGATTCGTGCACTAGTAACAACTACAATCACGAATGTCACATTAACCCTACAATACCTAACTCCACCACTCCTAAAACGGAGAACAGATCCAAAGTGACTACTAGTCCAAAGACCTGTCCCCTGAACAAAAGTGCTGCAACTTGTCCCGTAGTCAAAAGCCCATCATCATGTAAACCACAGGTCAATCGCTCTTCTGTAATACATAAACATTGTCCTAAAGATAAAGGGACAGACCTAGTGGTTCAAAATTCTCAGATCAGACGTGCTACTCGCCCTAACCGTCAGTCTTCAGTACTTAAAATACCTAATAAACAACAATGCCTGCCCCCTATCTCTCCTACTCGGGACGCTACTTTACTTCTAAAATTAAACCCTAGGACTCCTGAAAATACGGACACTCATACCATAAATACCTCCCTAAACGCTAACCGTAGGCGCCTCCCCGTTTCTAACCCAAAGCCTTTACCCTTGATTGCGTACAAAAAGACAAGGATGCCTAAAGTTTCTGAGATAACTCGTAACACTAGCCTGCTTGGGCATCCGCCTAATGTTCCTAGACACCACCCTAGTCGAAATACCTTTTGCAATTCTTCAGTCTCTCCAAAACATGTACCTAACCCTTTCTTAACGCTCACTCCCTCAACAGAGTTGTTTTTCTACCTCCAGCTGTTGAGGGCGATATTTCCCCCTCCTTGAAGTCATGCTCTGCATTCTGTGATGTAATGGATGACAATCGATCTTTGCTGCTGTTTGCCCCTTCTAGCTGAAATACCTTTAAGTCTGGTCCTTTTGACAAACCACCTTTCACATTGTCCAATGATTCGACTTACTCTACTATACCTTATCCAATGGACTTACGAAACGATCCACCCTTATGCCCCCTAGCGACTTCCTCATCTGTTCTTTGGGAGTCATCAGTTAACTCTGACGAACAACACTTATCATATCCTACCTCACATGTTTCTGTCACCATGCCTGTCTCTGAATAACTTTCTCCCTCTAACTATATCACTCCCAAATTAACTGACCAAAACAATCAAGCCTATATTCCTACTTCCAGCCCGTCTTCAGAACACACAACATACAACCCTCCAGATGCCCATCGTGCTTCCCTGAAAGATGAGTATTCATCCAATGTTACACTAATGCTAATTATTTCCCGATCTGTTATCAATAAGATAACCCACTTACACTCACTAGTAATTCTAAACAATCCTTCCATTGTCCTGATTACTGAAAGCTGGTTGTCCTCTGATGTCCCTGACTCATACCTTCTAATAGACTCTTATGAACTCTTTCGCGGTGACCGAGGATCTAAAAAGGGTGGTGGTTGCCTCATCTATGTATCTAGAGACATCAAAGCAGAAATGTTTTATGATACTGTTCTTAATCAAGTGCCTGATTCGATATGGCTGAGTGTGCACGCCCATGAATGTAAAATACTGGTTGTATGCATATATCGAGCTCCAAACACTCGTCGATCGGTTGACGTTGCTATTGGTAAGTCGTCTGCCAGGGCTGCCTCTCTTAAATTCACCTGCAAAATTATTTGTGGTGACTTCAACCTCCCTGGAATCAACTGGCAGACACATTCCGGTCCACTACGCTTTCGTAGCTTACTTGGTGCCCTGAACATACATGGTTGGCAACAACATGTGCACCTGCCTACTAGAAACCACAACATTCTCGATTTGATATTTTGTCACGATGGCAACCCAACATCTGTGGCTGTCTGAGGAAAGTTTCACAGAAGTGACCATAAAATTGTCCTCTGCACCATTCCGTTTTTTGCTAAATGTGACAAATCTAAAACAGTAAACCGTTTTCAATACAGAGACTATAAACATGCTGACTGGGACAGCTTTCGGTTTCTAATTCAGCACTCAGACTGGACTGTGTTTTTTTCTTGTCTTGAACTCTCTGATGAATTATATATATTCAATGTCACCATTAACTCTGCTCTAGACACTACTATCCGACTCTACACGTCTTTCAAAACAGTTACTCCTTATATCACCTATAAATCCAGCGCTAAACTACGTCAAGTAGAACGGGCGTATTGCAAATCTAAGGACTTCAGCATTCTGTACCAAATTTACGCTATACTGGAAGGTGTAAAATATCAACATGAATTGAGTAGGCAAGTCGAAGAAAATAATGCTCTCGCTACTGCGTGTAAGTCCCAAAACCTCTGTCGTTTGCTTAACAAACGCATAAAAAAGGACTCAGATCGCAAAATTCATTATATACTACAAGATGGACAGACTTATTATGAAGAAGCTGTTATTTGCGAACTGTTTAGTACATGGTTCCTCCTCAATCTGAACACATCTCCTATCCCTGATACTAACACCAACTATAGGAGTATGCGTAATATTTGTGCCATCAAATTTGATCTTAGCAATATTCATGTGGCAATTAAAATTCTCGTAACCCAACGGCAGCTGTGGTGCGGATGAGATACCTTCCATACATTTTATAATGGCAGGACCGAACCTTCCAGTGCTTTTGCTTAAAAATATTACCTTATCCCTTGAGTCTGGTACATACCCCGAATCGTGGAAGTTGACTCATATTGTCCCAGTACATAAATCTGGACCGAAAGACTTAATCCAAAACTACAGACCGGTTAATATCACTCCAGTTATATCACATGTGATGGAGAAAGTGATAAAAGATCAACTAGCTGATCACTTACTCAGGGAAGGTCACATTGACCCCTCACAACATGGCATCATTAGAACTAGATCATGTAGCAAATGTCTGTTAGATTTCTTCAATGAGGTTAACAGCCTGCGCTATCAAAAGCAACTAGTAATCGTGTTGTATTATGATATCAGAAAGGCTTTCCATAAGGTACCTCACAATCTCTTAATCAACAGACTTCAGTCCGTCTGGATTATAGGCCACCTGTTGCAATGGATTAGGTCGATCCTCACAGATGGATATCAAATAACCAAAATCAACTCACATACATTTACACCTCGACCGATTACCAGTGGTGTTGTGCAGGGCAGTGTTTTGGGTCCACTGCTTTTCATAATCTACATCAACAGCATATGCAGTTGTTTCAACACTGGTAAAACCTACCTCTATGCGGATGATCTAAAAGTGATTTATCAAACTAGCAAATCTGACTTAGGAAACTTGTTGCATACAATCCAGCACGAACTCAATACTGTAGATGTCTGGTGTAAGCAATGGAACCTTGAACTTAATACTGAGAAATGTGGCTGGATGTGTTTCGGAGACACGTCTCACTCTCAACAGGAATGTATTGCCCAAACTCACATCTGTAACTGATCTTGGAGTGCATTATTCGCACAGCCTTAACTTCTCCACACACTGCTTCCATATTATTAGCTCTGCATACACTTTAAACACAATGAACTCAGTGCTGCGTATTATTTAGTTATTTTTACCCTCTCAATAGACAGGTTACTCTATTCACTGGGTCGATCGATACTGTTCAACTGTAAACTGGTTGATTAGAATGCACTATACTCTCCTGGGCGCAACCTTATCAACACTTACAACTGTGTAAGTTTCACATTGCCTATTATCA